TCAGGGAAACCTGGTCACGGCGTAGACGATGTTGGCCAAGGCGGCCCTGGCCTCGGAGGGAGGGAAGCGCTCCAGGGCCGCCAGCGCTCTGTTTCCGTGGCAGCGGCAGAGGTCGATGGCAGAAGTCACACCTTTGCCAGCCTTGATCGCTTCCTGCAGCTGTCAGAAAACACAGGCACAACAGGGTGGGTTTCGGCAGTGCCAGCACACCATCACCTCTGAGAGCACAAGGCTGCCACAGCCCCTTCCCGAGGTACAGGCAAGAAACAAAGCCATCAGGCAAAGCTCTCGAAATAGTCTCAGCTGTGCCATTTGGCTCCCCACTACAGCAAAACTGCGGGTAATTTAAACTACATCACCCATTACTTCATCACCTGAAAGATGCTGGCACTTCAAAGGGCACACTTAATTTAAAAAAAACGACAACAAACAAACCACAAACATTTTAAAATATCTGGGTAAGCCACTGCTCGAGAGCTTTTGTGCAGAACTGGCAGAGCAGCTGCTCGCACTCTCATTTTCTGCAGTCAAAAACTGGATTTTACGAACACCCATTCCGTCCTGTTTTTGGAAACAGGCACAGGATGACATATGTTGAACTCCTGTACTTTGTAATACAGGTTTCTGTTTCCATACCATATGATTACATTTGTTACAGCAGACAAAAGAAAATGTTGTCAGTAAACCGGAATGTGTTAAACTTTACCATACTGAGCTAAATCCACACAAACTCAATCTCAGTAGGGCTGGGAAATCTGTCAGTGGTTCGGAGATCCATCGTATGAGAAAGAAACTATTTTCAGGGAATAACAGACATTGCCTGGCAAGCTGCTGGAAAGATCTGGCATCTAAAAAACTTCAGTACGTGACAGGTTAAATTGCTATGAAATACTACGAACAATTATGTCAAACGAAACCTTTTTTCCTAGTACCTCAGTTTAGCCAAAGCTCTAAGTAGTAATCATATTTATTAAGGGTTTTTAAAAAAATAATTATTTTTTCCCGAACAGCATTGTGAGACTGTCATGAAACGCTGTTACATTTTTCCCCACTAGAATACAGGTGTCCCCAGACCAACTCCAGGCTGGTGCCTCATGCCAGAGCCTGGGAACCACAGCCAGGTAGATCTTCTGGATTTGATTATTCAAAGAGCATGGCAGCATTTCATGGCCTTAAGTGTGTCCCACCTAACTTTCATAGGTGGGTTACATCACTGTATCACCTTTTAAAAGCACGGCTTTTCTTGAACACAGATATCTACCATAACTAATTATACAGGGCTTTATAAATTATGTTTTCCTCCAATACACAGCCCAGTGCCCCAATTCGTTTACATATACATCTGTATAACCTTATCTATCTTGTTTAAATAATGTAAAAAATATCTACACCGTGATCGAATTGTAAAAGTCACCCATTTTATATTGATACTTGTATTCAAACAAAATGAATAACATTTCTTATCTGAATACAAACTGAAGTGGATTAATTATCTGTATTTAAAGATGAAACAGCTGAAAGCATATTACAGCACTTGAGTGTTCAAGTCCCAGTTCATAAAAATTTTATTCTCCATTTCAGTTAGAATCTTCCTGCGCTGTGCGCTGGAAAGGAACTTGCCCCGAGGCACAAGTGCATTGCATAGCTAATTCAACACGTCCTCTATCGAATGGGAATCACCATCGAACCACAGCGCTACAGCAAAGGTGGGGATAGGTGAGATGAGCTATGCTGGCAGTGTGAAAAGGTGTTTCCTCCCCCTTCCTTGAGGCACAACTTTGCGAGATGGTAGAACCCACATGTCTTGATGCAAACTCTACTGATTTGCTAAAGTTCAATCAAAAGGTTTACCCTACCTGGTAATACTCATATAAATATATACTGAGATTTAAACAGAAAAGAAAATAGCTTCTAAAAAAAATTTAAAATCTTTAAACTGGTCAAAGATCAGAGTTGCTCAGTTTAAGCATACGTGTTTGCATGTATGTATGTACTATGACTGACTTGTAAGTCCAAAATCTGGAACGGAGGAGAACTCTAATGCAAGGACACAATCCATTTACACGCTTGTCTTGTATAGGCCATTAGACGCACGTAGTGCCTTGAAGCCAAAACAACTGCAGAGCTCATGTCAAACTCTATGCAGAGGTACTGCTATACAAAAATCAGACTAATCCACTACTGAATGTTTCCAAGCAAAGTTCAAGGAACCTCAAAATGAAAAATAACTGCTCATATGGCAAGCTCCTTCCTCAGCTTTTCAGTGAGAGATCATCCTAGGTAACAATTTGTAGTCCTTATAAACTTACCTGGTCTATATTCCATTTGCAGAACCAACTGGTTGACTCAAATAAGCATACACTGGGGCAAACCAGTCGAGATTAACCTGACTGCGTGCTACCTCTATCTCAGCTGGCATTGTAAAAGGAAAAAAAAAACATGAAAAAAATGTAGTGGTACAGTTATTAAAGAAATACAGGATATAATTCTGTAGGAAACCAGACTCCAGTAGACCTGCTGTATGCAAAAAAACCCTAATTTAAGCCTTCAGCTGTACTGATAGTTGTATTACAGTCACACCTTCATGCTCGCTCTCAATTTTTGAGCCTCAATGATTTTATGTAATGAACTTCACAAAGTAAGTAAGTAGAAAAACTGTATCCAGTTTAGATGTATTATTTTTTAATTTCATTTGGATAGGAACAGCTAATTTTTGAGGCAAATAGAAAAGCAAAATCAACTGCTTTAATTTGTTACTTTATAAACTTTAATTAAGCTCCCTCATTAATTTCTTCTAAATAAAGGAATCTGCTCTTTTAGTCTCTACTTCTACAGCATCATTTTGTGCATCAAACGTATTTCCACTTGTATTTCACCCACCATTAAAACACAGCCTTCTTCAAAGTGGCATTCAATAATTAAAACAGAATACAAGACAAAATACAGATTGCTTTGACACACTTTTCTCCACTTGAACTGCTGGATATGCTGAAATACTGCATCACAGCTTTTAAGCTTTTCTTTAGACCACTGGCACTAAAGCCCTACTTCTTTCTAAATGTGCCAAGAAGCTGAAAAACCGAGGGTCTCTCATTATTTAAATTCAGCTCAGAAAAAGGTCTTGCAATGGTGGAGCCAAGTTAAGACTCAGATGGGAAGTGGTATGTGCCTCCCTGCCCTCCAACATACCAACACTGCGTTTATTTGGCACCTTCTGTTTTCCTCAATATATTCAGATACTGACCAGGCTTGGCAGTTGTGCCTGGTACACAAGAAGCTCAGAACCCCAAAGCTTTGTGACTGATGGTTGTTCTGCATATCTAAGAAAAAGCAACAACCACCACCACCAGCATCACAACAAAATCTTCACAGGCTGGGAAAAAAGATGCCACAGCACATCAAGAGCCTGCACTAAGCCCAGCCTCATCTGCTTGACCAGAAATAAATTTATTTTTATTTCTTCTCATTGCCTAGTCTTCGACTAGAAGGAGGGATGGCTCTGATCAAGAGATACCAACAAAGTGAGAGAAAACATAAAAATATGGAAAGGAGGGAAGTGCTGAGGGTTTCTCATTCTGAAAGCTCTGAACACACCTGGGAGGACAAACGGCAGTGTGAGAGACTGGGCTCTACTTCTCCAGCTTCCTCCTTCCCTCCATACCAGCTCCTACTTCAGCCGTCTGGTACCAGCAAACCAAAAGGAGGAGAAAGAGACCCATTCTGAGCCCTTCCAACTTGAAGGCTGCATTTTACTGTCCACCTCTGCACCCACATGCTCTAGGCATGTCCTGCAGATAAATGGTAACAAGCCATCTACTGCTTCTTGAAGACTGCCTCTCACCATGCCTCAGCCCACTGGAAAGGAGAGTTTTATATCAGCACTTGTTTTCGGGCTTCCATTTCCTACCCTTCAGGAGACAACCATAAGCACCAAATAACTGGAGCAGGGGCATTTTCCACTCAATCCTCTGAGGTTTTCTGGGCAAGACCACCACCATAACTCAGGACAACAGGCACTCTCTATGAAAAGGGGGATCTGGGTTCAAGACCTCAGTCTCAGGATTACTTTCATTTCTCATGTTAAAAGCTATTGGATAAAATCCAGAGGTAGTTTTGGGGCAATGGCCATACAACCGTATATAGACTATTCATGGTCTGGCCCTACATGTGGAAACAGAAGGGTGCTACAGATGAGAACTTTACTTCTCTGTTCACTCATGTACCCATCTAAGTCCACCCTAAAACCAGAAGAGTATACTTGTGTGTCCCATCTCTCTGTTTATGAGCTAGTAAGACATTAAAACTAAGAAATTATTTCCTGCAGTAGAGCATATGTGAACACTATAAGGAAAACTTGTGTTGTCCAGGCCATACCATCTATAACCTTGTAGGAAATTCACATTCCTG